CACATGGAGTCACATGGAATTGCTCTAAATTTGGATGAATCATACCTACTCTAAAAGAGAGGGGGCTGGAGTTCCCTCTTTACCATGTGGCTCCGTTGCAAGAATATGTAGACATCAACATTCAAACCCCAGCTCCTATTAATGCCTTCACATGTGTCGCTCTCTCTTTTATACACGTCCACACATAATTGTATAGTTGTATATTTTATGAGTTTGTGCATACATGTGTGCATGTGTTTGTGTGTCCTTGATTTTACCCATTTGTTCTCGCTCTGTCCTTTACCTCTAGTTTACCCTCCTTATCAATTACTCTCATTTTGATCATTTTCTTTTGCTGCACTTGTGATGACTTTGGAATTATTGGTTTCACTAGATCCACATATTTTCTTTTCCTTGCAATTTAAAAGACAACAAAGCAAATTAAACTTAGTTTATATTGCTAATGTTACTATAAAGGTTTGTAACCGTTTATGTTGATATATACCAATTTACGCCAAAATAATAATTTCTACTATATATTTTGTTTGCAAAAAACAAAATTTTTGTTTGCTCAAATGTTAAATTTATTGATCAACAGAACAATACTTTTATGTACAAAATAAACAAAAAGAAGTGAAAATTTTGATCTAAGCTGAAAGAATAAAAAACAAAACAAAAAATTAAGATGTGTTGATGCGGTGATTTAGCCGAGTCTTAGTGCTTAAAAACATCGTTGGAGCAAGGATGCAACTTGAGGAGAGTCATTGTAACGTATCGAGCTGATTGTATTCCGAATTACCTCTCTAATGAAATGACTTTTTGGGTGACAAGTGTGATGGTGTGCCTTCTCAAGTCGCGCTCATTCCAAACATGGTAAATTGGAAAGTTAACCGTAGTAGTATGCATCATACTCGTGATTCGTAACGCATGCTAGAGTGCCGGACCAGTCGAGGTTTGCCAGAATCTTGAGGAGATCGCCGTTAATGTCAAGCCATACTATAAATGTGTAGGGACAAGCAAAAAATAGGTGATCACGAGATTTTTCAGGTTCATCACATAACAAACAAGGCTAAATATTTTCCAAATGGTCTTCAGTGCATTCACAAGTTTCCTTGCTCTATCTCAACAACTGTTGCCCATCGGTGAATCCCTAGCTGCCTTGTACTAGTGCCACTGGTAACTTCAATTGACCTACAAATTGGTAACTACTAACTAGTAATCCGATCACAAGAGAATAGTAATGTCCATATCGAACCTCTTGTTTTATGAATGACGCAACCAATGGTCTAATATGTTTTTAACCTAAAGAAAATGCATGCAAGAGAATTTAACCCTATTAGCACTTTGTAATTGCAAGGCAGAACAAAAAATCAACTCTAACATGAAGCTGACTTTGAATATGTGGCCTCTCAAAATGTAATATATTTAAGTGGCCTAAAGCTAATGTATCTTGTGCCTTAAACCGAAATGACGGGCCTGATCATGACCATTTTATAATAGATATGTTCAAAGTTAATATCATAAATGTAACTCTCTACGTACATTCTTCTAAACAAACATACAAATTTATATAATAAAATATCATCTCGTGAAAATTTGTACATTCAATATATGACCGATATAATAAGATATACTGAAACTATCTTGTCGGTTTAGATGATGAGAAATCGTACAAAGGTGTCAGAAAATTTGTACAAAGGTTGTGAACTTGTGATAGTATAAATGGCATGTTATGATTTGCTGGTTTCATATTCTTTTTAGAAATTTTTTTTTTTTGGGTCACAAATTCTTTTTATAATTTTATTAATATACTAATATTTGATTAAATAAAATTAGGAAAAAGGGGACCCAAAGATATGGGTTTGGATTGGGAAGAACATGTGGATTGAATAAGTGCATTGTTTGTATTCTTAATTTGGATGCAGTTCCACAAATGTATCCACGTGCACCAACTTTAAATATTTTATTCCTAAAAGCCTTCATTTATTTTCTCTATAAAAATATATTTGCATAATTATAAAAATACACCAAATCTTATAAAAAATTAATAAAATAAATAGAATATTTTAAAATTAAAGAAATAAACCAAATCTTACAGAAAATTTAAAATATAGACCAAATATTTACATATTCTCATGCCACTTTTCAACGTCTACGTGTGAAGATTGTATGAATTTCTCTCACCAAGCAAAGCATTTTCCATGAACCGTTCATACTCGGGTGATAAAACGTGAATATCGGAGACTAGTTCGGAATATGATCCTCCACAAAATGCTTTGGGATTTCCTAGAAAAAAAAAATTCAAAGATTCACATATCACCAATTCAAAACAATTTGTATAACATGTGTTGTTGTATCCTTAGTTTTAGTCTTACCAAGAACTTAAGTATGATTTGTTTATGGTG